ATGTGACACGCACGTGTTTTGACGTTTGCGTTAGTGCGGGTGGCATCGAAACCTGCTTTGCACACACGAGGTTGGAAGTTTCGGCGAGAGTCGCCACGACGTGCCTGCACTGGGCTTGCAATGACGCACTTTACAACTGATCAGCGTTCGCGTAATGCGCGACGTAAAGTGTTGTCTTTCGTCTAAAACCAGATGCCGAATTAGAGAAGGGAGGGCGGTCGTCACGGACCGGTTGAACGTTAAAAACCGCGGCCAACCTGCCTACATCTCCAGCTTGGCCTCTCATCGCGCAGCATGGCGCTCGGTGTTGCTGTGGGACGCCAAACGAATTCCAGAAAAAATGTTACTCTGAAAACGATCGGGACAACTTTTAGCCAAAGTGGCAGCTAACTTAAAGAACCAGCTGTGAACAAATAGCATTCCCCCCCCCCCCATCTAACCAAAATATAAAAATTATAAAACTGTTCGTAAAACGTGCCCGAACCTCAAAATAAAACACGAGCTCGGCATTACTTGGCGGAGACGTGAGCTGTCAAAGTGAGCGCAGCTTGAGCGACTAATGGCTTTAACATCAACGAGCTCAGGTTTTCTGCCCATGTTTAATTTGCAGGCGCTCTCAGAAAGGAAGTTAAGCCAGCTCCAGTATATGCCTGCTCGCAGATACAAAACATCTCTCCCCGACGATGCAACAATCTCCGCGGCTGCTGCTCGCTACGACAAACAGCAACCGCTCCACGCCACGACCACAGCACTCAAGTAATCCGCCTGCAGTGCCCTAGCTTCCCACTGGAGGGTGGGACAAGCCCTGCATGTAAACAAGCTACATTCACTTACAGTTTCCACATTACGTTCAGAGCATATCCAATGCAACAGGCGGCTATCCCTACGAGCGGTAAGCCACCGCAAACAAACAGACACACGAGTAAAACCGCAACACAAACTTTCCGTTACCTGAGGCCTCGTATCGAGCTTCGATTTGGAAAACTCTACGTGCACCACGAAGCAGGTCATGGCCTCCCGCCTACCGGCCCTGTCAGCGGCGGCGCGCAGGCTCCGAGGATCGTTCCAGCGCCGCTCGCACCTCACCCACTCTGGCTCGCGGCATTTCAGCGGCACCGGCGCCCGCCGCAGGGAGGCGAGAGCGGGGGGCCCGATGTGGTCACGGGGCACGCGCGCGTGAGTACGACGGTGCCGCGCTGAACGAAGACGGCCGTGCTCAAAAACGGCAACGCAAACTGTCGCAGCTGCCAAGAGACACACCGCCGGACCATCTGCCTCCGTGGTACGCAGAGGGGGGGGGGGGGTCTGGCGAACAAAGGACTCCGCGTAGCCTGGGGCCCCGGCTCAGACACCCGTTTATCCGCGACCAGCAGCGTCGCTCGATGGAAACTAGTTTTTGTGGTTCGGGTGACGGTCCGCGCGGCACCCAGCGTGCCGTTCCGATCTACGATCGCGTTTCTTTTGCAACCTCCCCCCCTCTCCCCGCGCCCACCCCCTCCCAAAATGAGATGCGGAGGGCGGTTCATGGCAGAGCAGTCAACCAGGTGGAGCTTGTTTACGAGACGTTGTAGTCATTGAAAGCAGTTCACACGTTTCAACTAAACTGTCGCGTAGGTATCATGGGGAAAAGCAGCGTGCTTATTTATTTACTTGACGAAGAGGACACAGTCTACATGGACTGTACACAGGAGATACAGCATACTCCACTCAACAAAGGTTGACGACAAGTGCTTGTTTGAAACGAATAATCAGCTGTGATCACCCTCACGGTTTCACGACGCAATAATATGCGTCGCCCATGCGCAAGAGGATATCTTTACTTCTGGTGGTGAAGATGACAACCTTGCCGTGGTCTCCACTGTTACGTGCTTGTCACAAACTAATGCCATCAACCTGGCGATCGAACGCCCGAAAAGGGCCTACCAATCAGGAAAAAAAAATCATGCTTTCTCGCGGCATGTCCTGTCCAGGTCGACTAACTTGTCTTAACTTGTGTATGTTTTGCGATCTACGTGTTCGTCTTTAGGTCCATGAGGGTATAACGCCAAGAAAAGACCTCTCTGGAGGCTTATTTTCACCATTGTCAACTATTGTATTTGCTGATGTCCAGGTGTCGTTTTATACATAACATGTAGTACGCACTGATTAAAAGCGTTGTTACTTTCGCACACTGATATGTTGCCTTTCATTATCAAGAACTGATTTTTGTGTTTAGTTTTTTGTCCTTCCCCCCGCGCCTCCGATTAGCACGGCTCGCTACGTACGGTGCCAAAAAAGTTTAACATACACACATCAAGTTCAGCTTTGGGAAAGCATTTCAACCTGCTCTCGCTTGCCTTTTTATTTCATAACGTTCAGCCTGGTTCAACTTTGCCGCAGTGTAATGGTTAGCACGCAATCCAGAGATCACCAGTTTAAACTTCCAGTGCAGCAGTTGAAACAATGGGGCAAGTTTCTTAAGTCCCCCCCCCCCCACCTCTGTTCACTCAGTAGTATAAATGGGTACAGAGGTGATCAGCAGGTCACAATTTAAAATATTTATTTAAGTAAACTATATTTTTTTACCAGGTAAGACCCACTGAGCTATGTAGCTCTTTTTCAGAAGTGACTTAGCCACAAATGTTCGCTCAACGAAGTGGCTTATCACGTGGAAATTATCGCCAAATGTCTTCTAAATGTGGAGGGGAAAACCCGAAGGACCCAGAGAAAAATCCACACCACCTCGGGGAGAACATGAAAACTCTAAATATACAGATGTCAGGATCTAATCCACGACCTCCTGTATACCAGGCGAGGGAGTTAACATCTCACCATCGTGGCTCCCACGTGTGGTGGGGTATTCCAACCTTCTCCAAGATCTCTGATCATTGTGGAAGAGTTTGGCAAAATACTCTCTAGAGCAGTGTTCATTGGAAGGCCCGCGGGCCACCGGCAAGCCCCTGGTGGCCTTTAGTGCGGCCCCTGACGTGCGGCCCCCGACAATACACAACACGTAACAACACCCCCATCAAGCTGTCAAACCCAACGGGTTTCAAATGTGTGGCAGCCCTCACACTGATGTCTTGACGACACAAGTGGGCCCCCTCTGAATATTAGTGATGAGCACTGCACTAGAGGGGCTTTCTAAAGCTGCCTCTAGTGGGGGGCTCATCTGTCAGCCGTGGCCTGAGCGAGTAACAGCTGGGATGCACCTTTGCCACGTTCAAAATATGTCCGAGGAATACAGTAAAACCTTGGATTGCGAGCATAATTCGTTCCGGAAACGTGTTTGTAATCCAAAGCACTCGTATATCAAAGCCCTCGTATATTGGTTGTGATCACGTGACGCTCGGCAGACAAAGCGTATACACGTACTACTCGTATTGCAAGACCTCACTCGTTTATCAAATTAATATTCATTTAAAAAATTTGCCCGTCTTGCAAAACACTCACAGACCAAATTACTCGCAATCCAAAGTTTTACTGTACATACTCGGATGTGTTTTCCAGTCGTTAAAGTACAAACATTCAAAGTTTTTAAATATCACATACAAATAAAAATACTTGGCACATTTAAAATAAATAGTAGGTTGAGAGTTGAAATACTGGTTGGGGAAGGGGTTGCCTCAACTCGTCGTTGTTACAAGATTAAATGAGTATCACTCTGTGGTAAGTCAACAGTGACTATCCATAGCAATGTGTATATTTCACCACGAACTCTGGGGCTATGAAAATTGAGTGCCACCGCCTTTACTCGTTTGGGGCCATCCATTGAGCATGTACACAAAAATCTGTCAAAACTTGGCCCATCCCCCCCTCCCTGTACGCACACGTACTTTTTAAACCCTCCACCTGCGTACATACGCTTGATGCACCCCCACCCCTGAATCCTATAGAACGGCCAATATTTAATCCACGCAGAAACGATCAAGGATTAATACTATTAACGTGTTTAAGCAAAGAGATAGTTCACCGCCGGCTGCATTAAATAATTAAGTTGCGTACCTTGGCCACTTGTTTTGCCGAGCTGCGTGATGGCTAGCAGTCAGTGGTACGTTGGCATGCAAGTGACACCTCTCCCACAGTCCTACTTCTCCCGGTCGTACTTGTCTGACAGCTGAAGAAACTGAACTGTGGCTCATTTGAAGGCCAATGTAGACAATTATCGAGGCTTCACCCCCCCCCCCCCGTTTCCTATGCGTACATTGTCAGTAGACCCCCCCCCATACGCAAGCGTACGCATTTGGGTTAACCGCCCTTCCCCCCTCCATGCGTACGTACTAAATGGATGGCCCCTTTGAGCAGACTGTATATATGAACTGATTTCGTACCAGACGTAGCCAACCATGCTAGGTAGCATAGGGGGCCAGAAGCAGCAGCTAAAGGACAATAGGATTCAGGCAATATGCTGTGATGACTGTAGATAATGGAACAGAAACCACAAGAAAGAAAACACGAGCTCTTATCTTGTAGACATACACCCGAGCGGTGCATCGATCTGGCAGTTGTACGAAACGACTTTGAAGCTTGGTTGCGCAACAGATCACTCAGGCTGTGGGCCCAGGGCTTTATAGCATTGGACCCACTGGGCAATTTCACCTGGGCCACCTCTGCAAGCTCAAGATCATCCCGGCATGCGATGTATGTATGCATGTTGAACTTCTTTCGCACCGTACATAGCCAACCGTGCTAATCGGAGGTGCGGGGAAGGACAACAAACTAGCAGATGTTCGACATTTTTATCCATGCGCTGGGAGCATCTTCAGAACACGAATGGAGCGTCTCACGTGATAAAAAGTTTTCCGGCTGCTGCTGGTGTTTTATGGACGGCCAGACGATATTATGCGAGAGCTTTTTAAATGATGCGTATAAGCTCAAACGTATGTCGCATTAAGTTAGCATTTTAGCCAGTGGTCTCTAGTTCTAAATACATTTCTAGAGTCTACTGGGGCCACGTGGCACCGCGTGGCACCGCGTGTCATCGTGTTGTGTCGGGCGCGTGAAAGCGCAGCAACGGGCACCTGTAGGATGCACTCGGAGACGACGCCCTCGGGGATCTGCGGGAAGCGCTCGCGCAGGTCGTGGTAAACGTGGATGTCGATCTGCTGCGTCCCCTGGGCCATGGCTCTCCAGGCAGCCACAGGAGGCGCCGCGCTCCTCGGCTCGTGCTTCGCCACCACCGCTGCCGCCGCCGCCGCCACCACCGCTGTCACCGCCACCTTCCAAGGGGCCGGTTTCACTCTGGTGCTGCTGTGCTCGCTCGCTGTGCCCGACAGGCACCGGGGGAAGGGGAGGGGGCCCCGGCTGCTGGCCTAGCCGTACAGGGCAGCGCCAATTGGTCTGCGTGGCCTCATCCTTCCACCGGCATCGTCAAACCTGCGGGATAAACCACCCGCCCGCGGGTTGCCGTTAATGCACGGCACAGTCTCGATGCACCGCAATGCGTATTCAGCGAGGGTCAACCTGGTCCAGAAACTGCCAAGCACAAGCTCGGCAGAATCAGCACCAGCGCTACAGACATCAACGATGTACCTTGTGTACTCTGTAGCCGAATACTGTGTGTATGCTGCGTATCAATATGATCAGGGTTTGATTTGCATGTCGGCGAATGTTCCCTTGTGTTGGATTTCTGGCAAAAATGTGGCAATATTATTCATTGTAACATTTTTTTTTGCAGTTTAGTCAAGGTGTAAATTTGATCATGTTTAAATCTCTCACTTTAAGTTACAATCCCCGTAAAAATCATGTATGCAATAATTCACCCTCCCAGTGATACTGCGATTCGATTCAAGAATTTATATTGGTCCAATTTTTAGCACCTTGTTGGCAATGTTTATCTTCCCGCCAATAACGTTTGCATAATTATGTTTTCCGCATTCTTCCACTTGAAATACTATCATAACATTTGAAAAACATTTGCCTAAAATAAAAATACAAGTATTCACCACTATGTGCCCAATCAGCATGCTCTAAACTAAAACTAAACTATTTTTAATTTACAAGGTAGGGTCCACTGAGCTATACAGCTCTCTTCAGAAGTGACCTGGCCAGCAAATGATTGTTAACCAAGTGGATTATCATGTGGAAATTTACAGCAGCCAAATATTGAAAACGCATGTTTCTAAACGTGGAGAGAAGAAACGGAGGATCCAGAGAAAAATGCACACGGCCACGGGGAGAACATACGAACTGCAAATATATAGGCATCAGGATCGGGATCAAATCCACGATCTCCTGCATACCAGGTGACGAAGGTAACATATCAACCACCACGGCACCCTAAATCCTCGTCATAACTTCAGTAATTTTGTATCCTGTAGCATTAAAATTGCATGCCTTCATCGTTGCACGAGTGCCATGAACATTAACCTGTACGTCAATAAAAGAGGATAGGATATTGGTTTTGAATGTATAATTAAAACATGTATTTTTATGACCATAAGAAGTTTATATCACAAATACACCGCTAAAGGCAAGCTCAAAAAATCGTGCTCCACTATCGGTGATGAGCCTCTTTCTCCGGGGTGTTGTATTCCACCTGTTCATCAGACACATGATCTACAGCCGAGGAGGAAGGCCTCCCCATGCTGTGTTCGGGTCAGAGGGGTTGTTTGACCAAACGTCGCAGTGCGGTGTGCTAAAAAGGGAGGGCAGTCGGACCGATTCGGATATTACTTGTGAATGATGTTAGCCGTGGCTGGGAATCAAATCAACCAATCCAAGCTTTGCAATGTGCCATATTCAGCAAAAAAAAAGCTGAGGCGGAAGCATGGATGGTATAGAAGAAAAATAAACAAAATTCAACCAACCAGAAGAGAGAATTTTTTTTTAGTCTGCTCTTAAAAGCACTGATTGTCACGGCGGAGTGGATTGCAGTCGGCAGACTGTTCCGGACCACCGGGGCAGCCGATGAAAACTTCAGTTCTGCTGTCCTAAGCAGAGTGAATTTCACGCAGCACCTCCATCGCAGACGAGCGAGCGGAGATTTCCGTGATGCTACATATGGGCGTATGGCATCGCTCAGGTAGGTTGATTGACCGGTTTGTTGTCTTTGCTATAACAGCGAGTACTGCGACGTTGCACCCGACTCCGTTACGCACTGGTAACCAGTGTAGCTCCTTCACAAGTCGAAGAGCTCGCGAGAGGTAGGGGCAAGGGGCAAACAACCGTGGAGAGGAGGGTGTTTTTGGAGATGCTGGAGACGCCTTTGTCCAAGGCAATCGTTTACTCTGTACAGCAGAGAGTGGGAAAAGACACGATGTTGGTGGGATTATAGTGCACGTTGCTGGGATTATACGACCGCGTCACGACTCCACCCATAACATGTACAACAAGCCCTTTTGTCAACCCCCTGCTTGATGCAAACCTCCCAACACCATGCCGGTAATCAGAGTTCTTTGACCACATTTCACCACGATGGTTAGTGCAGATTGGTGAAGGCAGGCAGCATAGGCAATCAATCTGAAATCAGAATCTGTATTTATCCTAGAGGAACCCTAATTGAAGCGTAGTACAGTGCAACTATGGATTTAGCTGCACTGCCCTTTGCGACAACTTAGCGCCTGCAGAGTGTTATGCATTGTGGCCACCCAATCCGAGCACTATCAAGGTTCAACCCCCTGCTTTGTCCGAGATGTGACGTGGTCAGGCACATTCTGATTGATTTGGTCAGAGGCAACCCACACATAGTCACATTAACAGTCACAGTAATGTAAAATTGATTAATGTCACAATTTCTTTGGTAACTCGTCACAAATGTCGGGTACCTGAAAACCACCTAAACAATTTGGGCCCAATTTTCATGAATCAGACGAAAAGGGGCATTTATTAACATTGGCAAATGTTAAAATTCACCCATATCTCTATTGCCAACGAGGGGGAAAAGATCACCAAGGCAATGTGACATGTTTCAAATGTTTTGTCAAGATGTGTCTGCCACATTGCGTTTGCTACTTTCTGTGATGCATACAAATTATAACGATTCAATATGCAAGCATGTCTAAGTAATACCGCATCTCAAGGTGTACCAAGACCCATTGCCGAGATTGTCAGCAACCTGCACCCATCGGTTACTCTGGAGATCATCACACACATTTGTATTTTTAAGACCAACTTTCACAAATTGCGAACGAGCTGGCAAGGAGGATATTTCCACTTGGGAGTACTGGGGCATTTGTTTTGGAAACGCATCACGTGAATGCCACACTATCGCAGTGCCCACCGGATGCAAAACAGAGCTGGCTGCATCAGACCAACGCGCAGAAGATATTTTACGCCAATGGTCTACGCCAAAACACAAGCTCAGCAGCGATGCCAAATTTATTCAGCAATTTACGGGTGGTCTCGTTAGGAAAACTAACTCGGGTAACTGAACTCTTGTTGGAGATCCCAGTGTAAAAACAAACAAGGCCTTGCTCCTCTTGGAATGGATTAAGGGGCCTGTTAGCAGAATTTTTGACAAACCTGCCTCTTAGTATTAACTTTTTTTTGCTATCGCAAATGTAGATAATAATGTAACTGCACGTATGCAATCGTACAGCCCGTTACCAAAACACGCCATGTGCAATGTGCACGTTTACAAGGCCACACTTCATTTATTTAGCAAACATTGTGCGCGTGACCAAGAAATGAAGGGCTCTCGTGTAATCTGAACCAGCCAATGTTTGTTTAAGTCAAGGAATCTCTCTCGAGATGCAACCGCCCTGTGTTCACCGTTGTCCCGGCAGCAACGGGGGGAGGGAGTTGGGTTTTGCTGTTAATACAGGACAGGCAGAGGGTGCGGGGGGGGGGGACATTGCCCTGGCAATAGCATGCATCACGAACGGAGCGGTGCAAATTCATGCACAATCGGACAACACAACTTATTTTTCACGTGCAAAAGGCTCTTGAAATAGTTTCATTGTCCGCATTTCACCAAATACTACACAGATCTGAGCATTGGTATTGGCAAGCGGTGTGGAAGGTTTGCAGTGCATGCGTGAAGGACTTTGTAGTTTTCATGAAAACGTGTGAGGTATCCTCGCCTGGAGAAATTTCCCAGGAAAAGCAATTACGTAGCCAATCATCAACCTCGTTATAACATTTTTGGCAAAGGACCGTCTTCAAAACAGGCACTGGCCGAAATGTATATATGTTGAACTTCTTTCGCACCGTACGTAGCCAACCGTGATAATCGGAGGCACGGGGAAAGGACAACAAACTAATCACAAATAAGTAATATTTTTTATTTTTTTACTAGTAATGGTAGAACTCCACGACTCCAGGAAGTGGCCCCGAAGCTTGCCATAACGTAAGGGGCCGTGGTGATTTACAGACAACGTCAGTTGAGCGTGGACAATTAGACCCAAGCCGAAACATAACAATGTTTAAAAATATTTTTTTTATGATAGAATATAGTATTGTCATGAGCATGACATAAGTATACCAAGTTTGCAGTCGATACTACATTGGGAAGTGGGTTAAAATTGAGTTACAAGATTTGAGGATACAACAACAACATAGTTACTAAAAAGCGTGTAAAAAGCAGTTTTAAAGAAATTCGTTTTCAATTTAGATTTAAAAGTGCATAGCTCCAGCGGCATCCTAATATCGGAAGGAAAAAATAAAAGCTTACCGTTACAAGAGTCAATAAAACGATACTTTACCATGCTGTTCAGTGTGGGTTAGTGGAGATGGTAACATCGATTTTTTTTAGCGAGGAACTCAAGTAAGATGGATGTACAGGTAGTCCCCGACTTACGATGGTCCGACTTACGATATGTCGATCTTACGATGGTGATATCGATATGACAAAATTGTAAAATATTTTACATTTCTCGCGGCAGGCCAACGCAGCAGCATACGAGGTACGATACTGTACGTTGGGACGCTGCCGGGATGTACTGTACGCATATAGTTTATACAGTACGGTACTGTAAATTGTTCTGTTTTGCTCAAATATCACCATTCTTTAAGACTCCTGGGTAGGCTAGGCCATTTTCGACTTGCGATATTTTCGACTTGCGATATTTTCGACTTACGATATTTTCGACTTACGATATTTTCGACTTACGATGGGGTCGTCGTAACGCATCTCCATCGTAAGTCGGGGACTACCTGTATTTAGGTGCACTGCCCTCTGCTGCCCACCACAAAGTCCCGCAGCCTGCAACAACCTGATTTTGCACGGTGGTCATATCCCACGTGAGCAGGCTCAACTGCTGCTCGGCATCAGAGATCTGGTAAGATTGGGGGAGCCTTCCTTGTGCTTTGGTCAAAGGCACGTATTAGTCATAGAAATATTCAAGACCCAACTATGTTCGATTTAAAGCTTTCGCAACTGCAGGAATTCATACTCTGGGTCTTTCGGTAAAGTCACGTAGATTAAAAAAATAATA